CTTTCCATCATCCAATCGTGTGCAAGCAAATATGTTCTTTTTTGCAGCACAACCAGCCAGGGGACTTGACTTTTCTCTGTTGAAGTCAAAGAACACATTTATATTACCTCCCTCTTCTTCTGATTGTACAATGAAGAAATAGAAAGGTGAGGTCATCTCTCTTGTCAGCACGTGTGAATGTTGGACATCTAATTGGCCCTAAATCTTGTACGTCTTTTCTCTGTCTGAGTGATGCTGTGCAAGAGATTGCAAGATGCTGTCCATTGACTCAGTTTCTGATATTTATACCAGATGCATTTAAAATACTTTTTTTTTTTTTTTTTTTTTTTAAGAAATACTGTTTTTTTAATATCTGAACTTCACTTGTTTTATTTTCTGCATAACATTTCATTTTCACTGAATTTTCCGTAAGTGGTTTCATCCTAATTTTTAAAAAATCGCAATAAACTTTATCATTATTATGCTGCTCAGAATGTTCCAACCAGCTATGTCTTTCTTTCCATTCACCAGTCTCTGTGTCCTCAGTTGTGATCCTTGCACCAATATATTGGGGGGCATTTATTAAAACTCAGAATCTGGTGCAGCTGGGTATGGTAGCCAATCAGCTTCTAACTTCAGCTTCTTCAATTAGGCTTTGACAATAAAACCTAGAAGCTGATTGGTTTATATGCAGACCAGATTTTGCACGTTCCAGTTTTAGTAAATTTCCCCCATTATGTACCTGGTTATGTTTAAGTTAGGCAATTAAAAGGTAATTTGGCAGATAAGGTCTTCTGCCTTTCTTAGGCTACATGAACACTGGAACTGCCGTAGATGTTAACTCTACTAGCAGCAGAAAAATGCTAAATGTGGCAAAAACACGTGTAAACACGATACTGCATTTATCCACGTTTAGGGCTTGGGTGTTAATTCATTTCATTGGCCACTGTACTTGACATTAAAATGAATAAACACCCAAGCGCTAAACGTGGCTAGCGCATAGGCATGTTTGCACACGTTTTTTCCCACGTTTGGCATTTTTTGGTCAAAATGTTCCTTTCCTGAACACGATTCTTTTGAGTGCAATAGAGGGACGTTTAACTGCCCCTAAATTCTGATGCTCCTAAATTCTGTTAAAAGGCTATGTGTGCATGGACACATAGGCTTTCATTGAGCTGAGTTCAGGGGCTTTCGCCTTCGCAAAAAAAAAAACACCAAAAGCTCCTAAACTCACGTATAAGAGCAACAGTGTACATGGGGCCTTAAGCTGTAGACTGGTTTTCCGGGTCGAATTTCAGTTTCAAACAGAGCAGAAGGCAAGTTAATTCTTTGCCTTCAGTAGTCTGTGAGTCATATCTATGTGGATTATGTGTTCTGATGCCACTGGCTGCCTCCATTTTGAGTCTGTGAGTGAGAAACTATTCAAGAGACATAACCAGATAGCCAGTCATCTAGCATTGTCAGAAGGAAGTCTGAATGACAACCCCATCTTTTTCATAGGAACAATCTACTTTAGAAGATATTGTAGCAGTGTATTGTGGAATTTAATATTTTATTTGAAATTGGATTGTGTATACAGGCGGTGCTTACCTGCGTTTTTCTTGCTGTTGAAACACACATAAAGTGCAGGTCAGCAGATTCCATTCTCAACATGTGCTTCTCTGAACGCAGTATTCCCTGAATTACAATCTAAGCAAGTCAAATGCAGCCTTTTGTCAAGTGCATGCGCTTGAGCTGGGTTGCATTCAAATGTAAAAGTCTGTGTTTTGACAGCAATGTACATGCTCTATACATGGCAGAAAATGAACATGAAAAAGGCTGGAGAACCTTTGCAAACTATCACAAACTTTTAGTAAATCAATTCTGTTGCAGGTTGTTATGGAAATCATATTATCTTTCCAATAATGTTTATTGAAAATGTATATACCATATAGAAAATACAGAACAACATAAAGGCCTTAAGCCTGCTAGTTGCCCAGTTTGAGGTATCCAACCATAAACAGAAGGAAGGTATTGCTTCACAGGTGGTATAATGTGGATACATAGAAATAAAGACAATATTTATCCTCAAGACCAACTAGGATGCAATCATAGGGAACTAAGAAAATGTATTAACAGCTCTCGCAATCACTTGCGAGAGCTGCCATGACATGAAAGAGCCACTTTACAAGGGGCATGGGCATGGACAGCTTAGCTAGTCCTTCTCAGAGTGAAGCATATCCCCCCCCCCCCCCCAGCATACAATCGGTGTCAAATGGGCTTATAAAAGCTGAACTGAACCAAGGGGCAAGGAAGACCCGCAATTCAAAACAGTCCTGAAAAACTGAGTAAATATACACTGCAAACTGGGCTTTTGATAAATGCAAAGCTTCAAAAGAGAAAATGGGGAGAGAGGAATAAGAAATAAATTGAAGGGAGAAAGAAAAGAAAAGAAATGGAAGAAAAAAGGTAAAGTCAAGAGACAGGTTGTCCACCCCTCAGGTCATTGCATGAACACTCCTCATGCAGGAGTTTACAGATATTGTATCCAAGGATTCCAGACCCTCTCAACCCATGTAATAGTGTCGCAAAGTGTACTAACTTCTCATTCATCATTATCCAGGTAAGCTTGCGCTTCATCACCGCCAGCTCCACCACCGGCTTCTTCCAAGCGGTAGCAATTGCTATTTTAGCCACCAGGAACATAACATGAATTAATCTGCATACGTTGAGGTATCCTGTCGAATGGTTTATTAAGTAGAGCTGTTTTGGGGTCTTTGATGACGTTCACCATAGTTACAGAGTATATGAGCGAGTGGACTCTAATCCAATATTGTCTGACTTTGCCACATGACTACCATGTGTGGAACATTGTGCCCACTTGGCCACAACCCCTAAAGCACAGGGCTGAAGAGTCTGGGTACATCCTATGTAGACATTCAGGCACTAGGTACCAGAGAGAGGCCACCTTGTAAGCAGCTTCTACTAAGGAGACGTTCATGATACCCTTAGATGTCCGCACAGACCAATCCCTTCAGTCCTCTGGAATTTCCATTCCCAAGTCGTTTTCTCATGCCCGCATATAAGGCAATTTACCCAGTGTGTTAACAAATAATTTGTACAAATCCTATACACCACCCTTCTGGTGTTCTCCATGATAACATCTTTATTCATAGGTAGTATTCGTCGTTATATCCAGAGTGAGACAATGCACAGATTGAAGAAAGTGTAAAATATGTTGTAGGCGGCAAGTCTCAGAGACTGGCATCTCGAGTTGTTGGGTAAAGTATGATGCAGAATGTAGTTATTTGTGATCCAAAAAGTGCTCGATGTGATAAAAACCTTTATTAAGCCATCATTGGAACTCCTGAGGTTGGAGACCAGGTGGGAACATTGGATTTTTTAAAATAGTCCCCAATGAGTTGTGAGGGAACCGAACAGACACTGATTTACATAAGTCCCAAAAATGTAACAAGTGGGAGAGCGTAGGGCAAAGAATTGACCATCGGTGTCTAGGGTATAGCAACAAGAAGAGGTCGATAGGCTGGGGAGCACAGGCCTGTGCTTCCATAGTCATCCAATCAGGTCTGTAAACCATAGAATATATTAGAGATAATTGTGTGATCTGGGCTGTGTAATAGTACGTCCGAAAATCTGGAACTCCCAAACCACCGACCCCTGCAGTGCAGTAAAGTGTAGAGTCTAGGACCCCGAGGGTGCCACATGAAACATATAAGCTGATTTTGAACTCGCTGCAGGTCAGCAAATGGAATTGCCACAGGCAGTATGCAAAAATAATATAAAATTCTGGGTAAAAAAAACATTTTAAGGGCCTTGACTTTACCCATTCAGGAAAGATGGCTCAAAGATGACCATATATCCATTTCCCATAAAAATTTGGGCATCAAAGATGAGTAATTGATTTTATATAAAGATGCTATGGAGGGAGTTAATTTAATCCCAAGGTTAGGTAGAGCATGCGATTGCCAAGAAAATATAAACTGTTCATTCAAACCTAACAGGACATCCTCATCCAGATTTATATTAAGCGCCTCCGTTTTCGCCTAGTTCACTTCTACCCCAGTAATATGTCGGAAGTGAGTGAGCAAACCCATAAGTGATGGCAAGCAGGTATGGGGAAAAGTGAGAAAGAGAAGCAAATCATCCGCGAAAAGTGCACATTTATGTTGGATACCCCCGCTCTCCACCCCCAGCACATCAGGATGAGACCGAATGGCTATAGCTAAAGTTTAATCACGATGATGAACAGGAGTAGAGAGAGCAGGAAACCTTGTTGTGTGCCTGAAGCAATTGGGAGGGGCACCGAGGTATAACCTTTCATGCAGACTTGGGCCAAAGGATTGTTATATAAAGTCAAAAGGGTTATTTTCATCCTGAGTAAATCCAAAATGGTATTGTTCCTATAAAATCATTATATCACAGAGGATAAGATTCAATTCTAGCTTGCGCCTTAATGACCTCCCTCTAGATTGTTTTCAAACAGAGCTGGACTCATTCCTAAATGTACAAAATATAACCAAATACTAACATTTATAGATAATAACACCAGGGGCCAGGGGTAGTTGATCCATGGAATATCTGACTGCCTCCTGGGGGATCAGAAAGGAATTTTTCCCCTTGCTGAAGCAAATTGGACCATGCTTTATTGGGGGTTTTTTTTGCCTTCCTCTGGATCAACTGTGGGTATGTGATTGTGTATACTGAGGTTTTCTTTTTTTTTTTTTATTTTTTATTGGTTAAACTAGATGGACTTATGCATTTTTTCAACCTAACTATGTAGCTATGTACGTCAAAAAATGATTGTTCTATTTGTTGTAGCCACATGAGCTATGTAAGTGGACACTGCTCCTTTCTGTGCTGTCTCATTAGTCTTGCTGGTCACATTGGTAAGTGTGGCTTTTTCCCCTAAATTGTGATTGTTTCAAGTGCTTGGAGGTCTGTGTGACAGTCATTCTAGAAAGTAAAGCATATTTCGCTAGAGGATAAGCGCCATAATAGCCTTGTGTGGCTTCTTACTGTGCCAGTTAGAATCTGCCTGAGTGTCCTTGGCTAGTAATTTCCACCTAATCCTTGCAGGTATGGAGCATGCCGAGTGCATTGTGCGTGCGCTCTAGGGTGTAGAGAAAATGGTACAGTGTTCTGAAACACATTCTCTTTCTGCACCCCTCCGTCGTTCTGACTGGGAGAAGATTAATAGTGTTTTATTCATGATAAATGCCGGTTTGCCAGTGTAGCCTTACTCATTCTCCTGTAAGCATCTGTTCCCTCTGCAAACATCTGGCCATGGGTGATAAAAAGCAAAAGAGCGCAGAGACAGAACCTGCATCAAACAGATGAGATCCTCGCAGAATGAAAAAGAACCTGACCATGGCTTCTTAAAGGAAAACTAAGATGTTTCGTCTGTGCATCGGCACACATAATTCTGTGATAGAGATTATCTTCCTTTGTACAGATTTGGGGGTTGGGGCACCTAAGAAAAAAATGTGCGTGCTAGGTAAATAATAAAAGGCCATAATACATAATACAGGGGAAAATAAAAGCAATAACAACATAACAATGATATGATATGGAAGGAAGCCATAGAGAAATGAGATATGCCTAGAAACTAAGCACCAAGAAGGAAATCCTGTTAAACTTTATATGCATGTGTGAAATTTTAGTTTAGGATCCCCAACAGTAGTTCATGCAGTGATTGTCTCATGTTAAGTGATAGGAAACAAGGAATTTATATTTTTTTAAAAATTTAAAAGCAAATACTGTACATGTAGCCCCAGGGGCGGACTGACAACTCATGGGGCCTCCAGGCAATAGGGGATCATGGGGCCCCTGTGTCCTTGCCCAATCTCAAAAACTCCTATGAAAAAGGTACCAGGGGCATCTCATGGGGCCCCCTACTGACTTCAGGCAGTGCCCGAGTTTCCAAATGGTCAGTCCGCCCCTGTGTAGCACCCTCTTAGGTTGCTAGAGTAGGAAAATGTAGTTTAGCTTCTCTGTAGCCAGAGAAGCAGGAGTTAATTTACTAGGGAGGTTGTGCAGAGCTTTGTAGGCTGTGGTCTTGTTATCTCCCCATCTTCTAGAACTTGCTGGATAGTTCTAGAATGTAGTGGGTGGAGGGACAAAGGCTGCAGCCTGAAAATTTAAGGATTTTCCACCAATCCCTGGGGAGGCAGGGATGGTTACAGCACATAAATACTCAAAAGCCGGGCAGTCTAAACAAGCAGAATCTGAGGTCTCCCCTTAGAGTCCCCCAGGACAGAAGGAAGAGAAGAGAAGCAGGAGGGGGTAGAGGAAAAGAGAGCTCTAGGACTTCACTCAGCCATGGTTCTCCAAGCCAGAACCAGCCTGTACCACAGCAAGGCCCATGCAGCAGCTCTCTTGTCTTAAAGAGCCATTTAAAGGGACTGAGTGAGTACCTACCAGCCAACATACCAAATGTCTTAGAGAAGACAGTGTAGTGCGATGTTGCACATGTCTAGAACCTAGGGGACAGCTTAAGTGCAATGCAAGACAGCCTGGAGCACCCCTCATTATCTCTAGCTTGGGTCAAGAGCAGCCAGGTACAGTGCAACACCGCCAGGTGCTGTGTCTATAACTTTGACTTCTTGGAGGTTGTGTTCAATTTACACATGGTGTCATCATTCCTAGTGGTGTGCAGCTCAGTTTGAAGTAGCCAGAAACTTTAAAGGGTCCTCAACCAACCAATCTGTAAATTGTTGGCAATATTTCTTCAGTGTGTAGCATCCCATGTACCCCTATTTCTTATCCAGTTTCCAAAAAAAAAAAAATACAACAAAACAAAACCAATACCCCTAGACCAGTGGTCTCCAAACTGTAACCCTTTGCTTTCCTTAATCCGGCCCCTGGGGCACTATTCCTCCCACTGATAAGAGACACTGTTCTGACATCTGATATCAACAATGGGGCACCATTTCACCCACTGACACCAATAATGGGTCACTATTCCCTACTATGATGCCAACGATGGGGCACTATTCCTTCCCCTAATACCAAATGTGGCAATGTTTACTCCCACTGATGCCAGTGATGTGATCCGGTGCCCGCTGTGTCCTCCGGATACAGATCGGCGGACGGGACCTCTATGCGAGGTCCCAATCATGTGATCACTCATTGGCCAATCAGTGATCACATGCAGAGTAGTAAGCAAGATGTCACTTTTGACATCATTGCTTACTACGTGTGAAATCTGTGAATGATCACAGTGGTCACATGGTACAAGGCTATTCACAACAGCCTTGTACCATGTGACAAAGCTGTAACCAATCACAGTTCACACAGTAGTTCTCAATGGCTGCAAGAATGCAGCCAGAGAGAAGGAGAAATGATTGCTTTTACAGCCTTTATGGGTGTAAAAGCAATCGGTGTAAAAAAAAAAACATAAATAATAATTAAAAAAAAAAATTAAAATGTTTAAAAATTATAATTTTTGGTCATAAACTAATTTGGGTTATTTTTTTTAACTAAAATGATAACGGAATAAATTTTGGACAAGATTTATGATGAAATACTATTTATTTGCAAAATTGTTATAAGAAAAACACTTTTTTTCAAAATGTTTTGACTTTTTCATTTACATAGCAAAAAAAAATAAAAATCCCAGCGGTGAATAAATACCACCAAAATAAAGCTTTATCTGTCTCAAAAAATGCTAAAAAATTCATATGGGTACAGTGTTGCATGGCCGCGCAATTGTCATTCAAGGTGTGATAGTGCAGAAAGCTGAAAATTGGCCTGGACAGGAAGGGGGTGAAAGTGTCCAGAATTGAAGAGGTTAACATAGGAATCAGAAATAGATAGAAAGTTTAAATTAACCAGTTAAGCTCTCTCCCTCTCTCTCTCTTTATATATCTAAAGCCACTTTATTAGGTACACCTTGCTAGTACCAGGTTGGACCCCCTTTTGCCTTCAGAACTGCCTTAATTCTTTGTGGCATAAATTCAACAAGGTGTTGGAAACATTCTTCAGAGATTTTGGTCCATAATGACATGAGTGACTGTTGCCTTTCTATCATCTCGAACCAGACTGCCCATTCTTCTCTGACCTCTGACATCAACAATGCATTTTTGTGCACACAACTGCCACTCACTGGATATTTTCTCTTTTTTTGGACCGTTCTCTGTAAACCCTAGAGTTGGCTGTGCGTGAAAATCCCAGTAGATCAGCAGTTTTGGAAACACTCAGACCACCGTCTGGCACCAACAGCCATGCCACATTCAAAGTCACTTAAAACGCCTTTATTCCCCATTCTGATGCTCAGTTTTAACTTCAGCAAGTTGTCTTCACCATGAGTTGCTGCAATGTGATTTGCTGATTAACAATTTGTGTTATCAAGCAACTGAACAGGCATACCTAATAAAGTGATCGATGAGTGTGTGTGTATATATATATAAATATATATATATATATATATACATATATAGTGAAGGAAATAAGTATTTGATCCCCTGCTGATTTTGAATGTTTGTTAGACATGCATTTCTTTAGAATTTTTTGTTGCTATTCTGTCTCTCAGTGTTACATTACACCTACCATTCGATTTTTAGACTGATCATTTCTTTGTGAGTGGGCAAACATTCAAAATCAGCAGGGGATCAAATACTTATTTCTTTCACTATTATATATATATATATATATATATATATATATATATATATATATATATACAGTGGGGATCGAAAGTTTGGGCACCCCAGCTAAAAATTTGTATTAATGTGCATAAAGGAGCCAAAGAAAGATGGAAAAATCTCCAAAAGGCATTAAATTACAGATTAGACATTCTTATAATATGTCAACAAAAGTTAGATTTTTTTTCCATCATTTACACTTTCAAAATAACAGAAAACAAAAAAATGGCGTCTGCAAAAGTTTGGGCACCCTGCAGAGTTAATATCTTGTACTGCCCCCTTTGGCAAGTATCACAGCTTGTAAACGCTTTTTGTAGCCAGCCAAGAGTATTTCAATTCTTGTTTGCCAAAAAGTTCAATTTTAACCTCATCGGTCGACAGAACTTGTTTCCAAAATGCATCAGGCTTGTCTATATGTTCATTTGCAAAGTTCAAACGATGATTTTTGTGGTGAGGACGTAGAAGAGGTTTTCTTCTGATGACTCTTCCATGAAGACCATATTTGTACAAGTATCTCTTTATAGTGGAATAGTGTACCACAACTCCAGTGTCTGCCAGATCTTTCTGGAGGGATCGTGCAGTCAAACGTGGGTTTTGAATTGTTTTTCTCACAATCCTGCGAGCTGTTCTGTCTGATATTTTTCTTGGTCTTCCAGATCTTGCTTTAACTTCCACTGTTCCTGATGACTGCCATTTCTTAATTACATTTCGAACAGAGGATATTGACATCTGAAAATGCTTTGCTATCTTCTTATAGCCTTCTCCAGCTTTGTGAGAGTCAACTATTTTCAGTTTTCTAGACAACTGCTTAGAAGAACCCATGGTCCTGATTGTTGGGGCAAGGTCAGATGAGTCTGGGCATTTAAAACCTTTGAGATTGACATCACCTGGTCTTCCCAGACAATGATTGAGAACAATCCATGACACTGGCAGGTCTCAGCTTGGCAAAGGGGGCAGTGCATGCTATAAATTCTGCAGGGTGCCCAAACTTTTGCAGACGCCATTTTTTAGTTTTCTGTTATTCTGAAAGTGTAAATGATGGAAATAAAATCTAACTTTTGTTGACATATTATAAGAATGTCTAATCTGTAATTTGATGCCTTCTGGAGATTTTTCCATCTTTCCTTGGCTTCTTTATGCACATTAATACAAATTTTTAGCTGGGGTGCCCAAACTTTCGATCCCCACTGTATATATATATATATATATATACACTATTATATATACACTATATTGCCAAAAGAATTGGAACGCTTGCCTTTACATGCACATGAACTTTAATGGCATCCCAGTCTTAGTCCGTAGGGTTCAATATTGAGTTGGCCTACCCTTTGCAGCTATAACAGCTTCAACTCTTCTGGGAAGGCTGTCCACAAGGTTTAGGAGTGTGTCTATGGGAATGTGTACAAATAAAACTTCAGCGCAACAAATAATTCCTCAAATTCCTGTGTATACCAGTGCTACTGATATGTGCGTTATAAATGCAAGTGCGTTTCCATAAGTGCGTTTCCACACAAAAGATATGTCACATAATAGTGCCGCGCATATATCTCTATAACCTCATAAATGAATTAAAGCATCCAGACCATGTGACAATGCAACAACGGTGAATACATTGAATACAGCTTAAAAGTCCATAATGTGTGCTTGATTTGTGCCTTTATCATTTGTTCACAAACTGGTGTTCTTTATTGCTTATATCCACATATATTCCTATAGGTGCTTCTCCACCAGAGACATACATATATATTCTCACCTCCTTTTATGACCCAAATTGCATAGGTCAAATACCGCCTTTCCCTTTTAACCCAGGTAGGTATACTGTATAGATGACTCCACTTTCCTCCTCACTCTGCTGTAAATGGTACCATCTCCTATTTATCCCACAAATCCTCTGCATATGTAAACAGAAACGCTTGCCATAGTGTAGTATATAAATATAACGTGATTTATTAAAAAAACAAAGTGCACTCACATTTAAATTTCCTGCTGGGACACCGCAGTAAAAAAACCCTATACGTTATGTCACGTGACTTCATCAGGAGTTCGTGGCCCATCCTATGCATTATGTGATGTAACGCGTCTGGTGGGCTTATGGCGTCAAGCCGCTAAACCGAAAGTTAACGAGCCGCCATCTTGGAAATTCCTGAACACGTTGAAAATACATTATAACAAGGTGATTACTGTGATGTCCCAGCAGAACACTTTTAAATGTGAGTACACTTTGTTTTTTTAATCTAGTTAATGATAACCAAGGATTAAAT